CATTTGCTATGGGTTTGAATATCATCTTATCTCCCAAATGTGCTAGAATGGGACTCAAGGAGATACGTTCCCGGGAAACTGGGAAGAACATCCATACCGGGATATACCGTGGGGATATCTCCAACGAAAATATGAGGATAGAACCAACCAAATCTAGGGATATCATGATATCGAGGATACTGAGAACTCATGCGGTTTGATGATCGTCATCCCAAAAACATGCAAAATTCACCAAACATTTCGGGTTGGTATGGGTTGGTGAACTGCGGTTTCATTAATATATATATATATGACCATATATACATACGTATGTGTGTATCAAGCAGAACCACGGAGGTTTTGATTCACGTTTCGCAAAATCTTCATTGCATCTTTACTTTGAGACTTTAAAATTCAAACACAAGTCTTGGTGTAGGGCTAAGCATGGACGCATGGACCCAGAGAATGTTTTGCCAAAACAATGCTATTTTCGTGCAGTATTTCAAAACCAAACAAGGACCCTACTTAGCCAGCACCTTCAAGATGAAAGCAGCGTGGATGCTTGCTACGGGCATGTAGCTGGTAAACCCCCCCCCCAAAAAAAGTGGGGATATGGAGATGTTGATGCAGGGATGGTACTCCGAGGAACGTGCCACAACCTGCAACACCTGATCAAACCAAGGCAGTACAATAATGTTGTTGCACAGTCCTAGTCCATGTCTTACCCCTTTTCACCTCTTACTATCGTGTGCATGGCTCAAGAAATAGTGCGGATACTGTAGCTGTACTTTGTGGTCTATCTAGGCTTTTAGCCGGTTTCTACAGGTTATCAGCCGTATCGCCAAGCGATCGCTGGTTTCCTTCTGTCTCACACTTTTCGCTCGTTCCTCTCTGTGTTTAGCCATGTCTTCTCCCCCTGCGTTACCTGCCCCGGGCGGGAACGCCACGGCTGCACTAGCATTGGCAAACACATCACAACCGGAGGAAGTGGTAATCCATTCAGGTGCGGCGACAACAGAAGGCGATATGAGTTATTTGGACGAGGACTTTGACCCATGCCGTTCTGATCCACGCAGGAATATGCCGGGTGTTTTGGACACCAACATCGACATTAGTCAGCTCAACACCATCAACTTCAATAGCATCGATCAACGTACCGCACATGTTGCAGTGGTACAGCAAGGTGTTGACCCTTCGATGGCAAATCAACTGATGGCTGCTCAACAGCAGGCATTGCAGAGCGAGGCTAATGCGCTTCACTCTGAGGTCATGGAACGTCAAAGGAACGCGCTTGTGAGTGAAGCTCGAGATCAACTTGCAAGCATTGAACAATAGGCAGCCGACGAGATTTCCAGGAAGAACCTTTTGTTGAACGAGCAAGCCGCCCAGGCGATGAGTGAGCAGAAATCTGCTCAACTGCAAGTCAATGCGCAGGATCATCGCATCAGGGAACTGAGTGCCGAACTGACCCATGTAGTCAAAAATGCAGGTATCTTGACATCGTCTGCGGAGAAGTCCAACGCTGATCTGCAGGCAGCCCGTTCGGAACTTGCTGAATACCGCACTCAGATTGATGCAATGAATCAACATGCCTTGAACATGCAGAAACTGGCCGAGTCTCAAAAGAAGGACTTCGAGGCGGAGATTGAGAAGCTTCGGAAGGAGCAGAAAGAGCTCATTCGGAACTTAAAGTCTCAACCTCTGGAGGGAACTCCTGGACTCATGATTCACTATGGACCAGGAAAATCCGTTCCACAAGCTTCGCAACCCGCAAGTCCAATCATCGAAGAGTTGGCATCAGGTAGCAGAAAGCCCAAGCATTCATCTGATGCAGATGATGAGCATTTCTTGGCAGACCCTTTGAAGCCGCCAGGACTTCCTGGTGGTGGACCTCCTGGAGATGATGACGATGATGATGACTTCAATGACAAAAGAGGTCGCAAGGACAAGAAGGATAAGAAGAAAGGTCGCAAGACCAGTCGTGGGAGATCCAGGCGACGACATCGTCGGGATCCTTCATCTTCTCCATCTTCGTCTTCATCACCTACCACGTCCAGTTCGGATTCTGAGAGTTCTTTTGCACGAAAGGTCAAGAGGGCCTTAGAGCGTTCTAGGACTATTCCAAATGACCATATTTGCGCGGGCTCCACATTCAATTTCCGAGGTGCAATATGGAACAACGGAACAGTTCGGAGATACTTCACCCGGTTGGTGGATGAAGAAACATGTCAGATCATGTCAGAAACCATCGATTTACCAAACCCACATGTGGATAATTCCGTGTAAATGTTCCGCCTATCAAACCTCGTTCCGGACTTTGATGCTTTTGAGGATAAGACCAGCTTGAGTTATATAGTGGGCCTGGTTTGCCAGGAGTTTTTACTGCTGAGTGGTTTCATTTTTTAGGTTCAGCCATAAACATGGGATGATTACATATGATCACTGCGATCCACAATGATCTGTTTAATATTTTTCAGAGGGTGACACCACCGAGCAGTTGTGAAACTATGGGAAATCCGCTTCAACCTGCAGAAACCCCAGGTTTCAACATCGTTCCCTCCAAGCAGCAAACCTACGCTGAAGCCCTCGGCAAGGAGTGTTCCTAGGTGATATCTATGTCTATGGGGTGCCAATGAGCCAACCAGTTCTTGTCATAAAAAATAAAATAAAAGCATCCATCTTTATACATTTCTTTAGGGTCTTTGTTCATATATGTTTTTATTATAACCCATCCATTTTTATGTGAATAGATTCTTTTGGCACAGGTTAGGGCAGAGACGACCGGCACCAGTCGGACCCAGCTTGCGGGTAGTAATGTCAACCCTGGATGAATAAACCCTGGTTTATTTGTTATGGGGGTACCCTCCAAATGGTGATAATCTGATGCTTAAATGGTCTCCAAATTCAGGGTTTCTTAACCCAGGGTCTGACACTATATATTACCGAATGTTCGGTGTCTGAAGCCTTTGAGCCTATACAGGGTGCCCCACTTTTTGGGCAAATTTCCTATATACCCCCCCAAAAAAATGTTGATGCAACCGGCCTTCCTCGGGTTTCCAGGAGTGGCCCGCGAGGCAATGTGTGCTGGATGAGGCTGGATTATCCAAGTGCTAAGCTCTGATTGTTAAGGGGAGTTGCCCTCTTATGATGTAACATAGCCATGGAAAATCACCATGCTTAATAGGTAGATCATATAATATATATATATATATCCCTATAAATGGTCCATTGTCCATGGCTATGTTAGATTACCAGAGGATATTATTATTATTATTATTAATATCATTATAATATATATATAGATAATCCATCGTAATTTGCTCCTGAAATGGCACCTAACACACCCATGAGACAGCAAAGAGGTTCACAAAATCCAGGGTTGACGTTGCATGTTTTTGGTGTGCACTCAGTGGGATGCTTGATGCTGGCAATGCTATCTAATGCTTTGGTGATCGGCTCTCATCATTTTGACGGTTTTCAATTTTAAGTAACAAGCGCAGATATAGGTCCAGCACACGTTTATTGGTAAAACTTGCTGAATGGTAGGTGGTTGCTGCAATTTTTGTACAGTTCATTGAAGAGTGTATCATTTTGGTAGTAGCTCACCAACAGATCTCTTTTACAAACCGAGAACCTGTCATAAATTCTTTGTTTGTTTTTGAGAGACGGGAATCTAAGGCTACCCCTTATTTTTCTCAGTATCTCTGCCTCTGGAGTGTCACCAGGCTGTACGAAATCAGCTTCAGCAGCTTGCTGTCAACGCCCGTGAGCCTAGGGGTTTTGGCAGTGCAGGTTTGGTCCCAAAAATGGGGACGGACCAGGCGCTACAGTCGCTCTAACGATCCACCCCGGCGATGGAAACTGACTGTTGGATGATTGCCTGTTTTTTTTTCGTAGACGTTCCATGCAAAAATCAGATGATTTCCCATGGCCAGGCTAGAACAACCACAGAGGGTAAAGTATATGGTCATTCTGGTCATTTCATGAAATGCAGGGTGACTCACCCAAATTACCCTCTGGTAAACTAACATAGCTATGGAAAATCACAATTTTTAATGGGAAAATCCACTATTAATGGCCATTTTCAATAGCTACGTTAAATTACCAGAGGGTAAATCAGAGGAAACTGGAACGTGAGGCTCTCCAAAGAGCTCCTCTTGGCTCCTGTTTTTTGCGACAAAACATGGACCGTTTCGGATGTCGAGGCGTACCAATCGGCATCAGCAGGGATGTTGCGAAATGCCCACAACCGATTGGTGGAGCAGGCGCTGTGGGGGCCCATGATTTACCATTAAAATCCATTACCCCCTGGTAAACTAACAGTTTGCGAACTTGAAAATGGCCCAGTCGAAATCGTGAGTTGTGCCATTAAACATGGTGATTTTCCGTAGTTTTATGTTAGTTTACTAGAGAGAAAACTTATAGCAATGGAAAACTCCCACAATTTTCTTAGCTCTTAAGCTCCGTGTCTACTTGGAGGATCATTCCACTTCGCCAGTGGTTTTTCGTCTGCCCTCCTCAAAAAAAGTCCCGTAACTTGGTGGGTTATCCCGGTCCCAGCTATTTCAAATGGGTAACAAACTGCTTGTCACCTGCTAAGCGGGATGATCCTCCAAGTAAGATGGTTTACCTATTAAACATGGTGATATTTGTTGTTGCACAGTCCTAGTGTAGGTATACCCCTTTTCACCTCTACCTTGTGTATGCTTTGGCTCAAGAAATAGTGCGGTGCAGACTAGCTGTGTTTTGTGGTTGTTACCGGCTTTTACCTAGTTTCTACAGGTTATCAGCCGTATCGCCAAGCGATCGCTGGTTTCCTTTCGTCTCACCTTTTCGCTTTTCCCTCCTTGTTTTCGCTATGGCTACACCCCCTGCGTTGCCTGCCCCGGGCGGGAACGCCACGGCTGCTTTAGCACTGGCGAACACATCACAACCGGAGGAAATGGTGATCCACTCAGGTGCGGCTACGACAACAGAAGGTGATATGAGTTACTTGGATGAAGAGGTTGACCCATGCCGTCAAGATCCACGCAGGAACATGCCAGGTGTCTTAGACTCAAGCGTTGAAATCAGTCAGCTCAATACCATCAACTTCAACAGTGTTGATCAGCATACCGCCAATGTGGCAGTGGTACAACAGGGTATTGATCCGAACCTGGCGAACCAACTTATGGCTGCTCAGCAGCAGGCATTGCAGAGTGAGGCAAATGTACGTCACTCTGAGGTCATGGAACGTCAACGTATGGAGCTTGTGAGCGAAGCTCGAGATCAACTTGCAAGCGTCGAACAACAAGCAGCCGAAGAAATTTCCAGGAGAAACCTTTTGTTGAACGAGCAGGCCGCCCAGGCGATGAGTGAGCAAAAATCTGCTCAACTGCAGGTCACAGCGCAGGATCATCGCATCAGGGAACTGAGTGCCGAACTGACTCACGTGGTCAACAATGCAGGTGTCTTGACATCGTCTGCGGAGAAGTCCAACGCTGATCTGCAGGCAGCACGTTCAGAACTTGCCGAATACCGCACTCAGATTGATGCAATGAATCAACACGCTTTGAACATGCAGAAGTTGGCCGAATCTCAGAAGAAGGACTTCGAGGCGGAGATTGAGAAGCTTCGGAAGGAGCAGAGAGAGCTCATCCGGAATCTAAAGTCTCAACCTCTGGAGGGAACTCCTGGACTCATGATCCATTACGGTCCCGGAAAACCCATTCCACAATCCTCGAAGCCCAAGGGTCCAACCATTGAGGAGTTAGCTTCGGGAAGCAAGAAGCCTCAGCATTCATCAGATGCTGACGATGAGCATTTTCAGGCAGAACCTTCGAAGCCACCGGGACTTCCCGGCGGTGGACCTCCAGGAGATGACGATGGTGATGATGACTATGACGACAAGAGAGGTCGCAAGGACAAGAAAGACAAGAAGAAGGATCGCAAGGCTAGTCGTGGCCGATCGCGACGACGACGTCGAAGAGATCCTTCATCCTCACCTTCATCATCTACATCCCCTACGACGTCAAGTTCGGATTCTGAGAATTCCTTTGCACGAAAGGTCAAAAAGGCCTTGGAGCGTTCTAGGACTAGTGATACTAAGGCCAAAGAGTCTGATAGGATCCTAGTACCTAAGTTCCCTCAACCCGAAAATTATAGGAATTGGAGAATCCGAGTAAGGGATGCCATAATTGCTGCTTCTGCTAAACCCGACCTAGCCTTTCAGTGGGTGGAGGAAGTGTTCAGGACAGATCAGTCTGTCGATGCATTGAAGGACTCGGGTAAATTCGTGACCCTAGACGCAAAGCTCATGTCTTCGCTCACCAACATCTGCGAAGGGGACTTTGCACGGCAACTTGACATCTTTAAAGAAGAACAAGCCAAGTCAGGGACACCAGCTAGGGGACGTCAAGCATTGCTCATGATTCATAAACACTTCAGTACAAGTAGGAAGCATGGTGCAGTGTACGACATTGAGGACCTCATGGCTGTTACCTTAGTCAATGACGATCTCAGAGGTTTCATCACTCGATGGGACGCTGTGATCGCTGGAATGACTTCCGAGCCTGACATGATGTGGAAGCAAGCCTACTTTCACAACGCCATCAAGAACTTCAAGCCTCTCTCTCATGATCTGGCTGTGTATGATCGCACACCGGAGGGGGAACCCAACCGCTCTTATGATTTTCTCATGAAAGCTGCAAGGGACTACCTTGAGAGAAGACGTCTTGAGAAGATGCGCCAGGCAACCAAGAAGTCCGTCTCAGGCAAAAGAGATGCAACGCCAGCACCCACGAGACCTACGTCCACGGGAAGGCCCACTGGCATTTGCTACGACTTCCAGGCGGGCAAATGTACCAGGGGAAAGGATTGCCGATACCGACATGAAAAGGCAGACAAAGGAAAAGGCGGAGGTAAGAAAGGCAAGTCTAGGTCCAAGTCAAGAGGCGATGGTCGATCTTTGTCTCCAGGATCTAGGAACCAAGTGTGTAAGTTTTGGAAGGCAGGTAAGTGTCAACGAGGTAATGACTGTGCTTTCCAACACCCACCAAAGCCTGCAGCTGCATCTACCAAAGATGACAAGCGTGGAAAGAGCCAGAAAAAGAAGAAGAAGAATAAGAAGAAGGGCGATCGCTCCAGATCGTCAAGTCGAGGTTCCAATTCCTCGAGAGGCTCTCAGAGTCTCAAGGACAAAGGGGGAAAACCATCTTCCTCTGGCTCAGCTGCAGTATGCCTGATGCGCGCTCTGATGATGGTCGCAGTCGTCAACCCTTCGACCAGCACTCATCGCGTGCCGGAAGGCATCGCCTCTCCGCATTGTTTCAACCAGCATTTTGCTATGCCAGTTACACCCAATCGCACTGTTTCATTTGGGGGCAACGATGAAATCTTCGAAGTTCCCATCGAGCAAAATTGTAATTTATATCCGTGCCAAGCCAAACAACGAACTTTCAATCCAGTTCGCATCACCAAGGACGATCGTACTCGTAAAGATACGATCGAAGCACGAGAAAGTGATGCAATACTTGCAGCACAGATGTTGCAATCAGCTGTCTTTCGGGAGTTGCATGGTAAGCTTTGCAAATGCAGCTTTGAATGTGACAGTGATATCGGCTGTCGCCACTGCATCCGTTCTGATCTGAATGCATTGCCAGGACACATGCCTTCTCAGCAGCGTAATGCATCTGCTGAAATCGCATGGATCGCTGACACCGGTAGTGCTCAGGACTTAGTGTGCAGCAAGATGATTCCCGATGACGTTGTGTATCACTCTCATGAACCCCTTGAATTAATCACTGCAAATGGTTCTCAATCAGCTGACCAACAAGCTTCTGTTCATATTGATTGCATCGACAAAGAAGTTCATCCATATGTTCTTCCTGATACCCCGGCTGTAATATCGGTAGGGATGAGGTGTATTCAAGATGGATGGGACTTTGTTTGGAAAAGTTTTAGTCGCCCATATTTCAAGAAGAAAGATGGAACTAAGATCAAGCTTGAAGTCAAAGATTTTGTTCCTTATTTACCATCAAGAGATGGCCAGGTACCCGCTGCAGTAGGGATTCCGTTTTCATGGGACTCCGCTGCCGGGAACGGCAAGCCTATCATCTCACCTGTTCGAAGGTCTCGCATGTCAGCTGTCGGCACTGAGTCTGAGGACGAAGTCCAAGAGGTCGAAGAACTGTATGAGGCTTCCATCGCAGACGACGATGAAGTTCCTGGACGTGGTGACGATAGTCTCGAGGAGTTCTTCCCTGGTGAACTTGCGCCAGGACCTCCAGCAGCCATGACACCTGAGGGTGATGTGGGTTCGGAAGATGAAGCCGAAGCTCCTGAAGAACCAGTTGACGGTCGACTTCAACTGCCTGAACCTCAACCAATTGATCGCGGTGAAGCTGCACTTCGAGAAGAGGCCAGGACCCTTAGGCACATGATGACACATACCCCAAAGAATCCTTTTTGTGAAACGTGCAAATGTGCAAAGATGTACAAACCTACCAAACGTAGCAAAGGGGAATCTTTAACTGTGGAATCCAACAAGTTTGGGGATCACATTACTGTGGATCATCTGGTGACTAGGGATGCCAACGAACAGTCAATCGATGGTGACAGAGTTGCTATGGTCATGAAAGATGTCGCTACGAATTTTCGTTGGATCTATCCTTCAGCTAGAAGTCATGCCAAGGATTGTGTTTTAGCTTTTAGGCATTTCATTGCACCTGGTGAAGAAGTCGGAGTGTTTTATTCCGATGCAGCGCCATCCATCAAGCTCGCTTGTCGGGAAGTTGGGTGGAGACAGAACACTAGTGTTGCTTATGTCTCTAAGTCGAACGCAGTCGCCGAGAGGAATCTCAGGTCCGTGCTTGAAGGAACTAGAGTAAATCTTGAGCAGGCAGGGCTTCACCATTCCTATTGGAGTTATGCTGCACGACATTGGTGCATGGCTCACAACATCCAGGACCACCCTGAAATTTTATCTCCCTGGGAGCTTCGTTTTGGGGAAAAGTTCAAGGGACCCAACATTCCTTTTGGGGCCCGCATTGACTATTGGACTGGACCGAAACTTAAACCCAAGAAAGATTTGCGTTTTGACCCAACTTCAAATCCAGGTGTCTTTTTGGGATATGCCATGCAACCAGGTTTCGTTTGGAGAAATGAATTTCTTGTTGCATCATTGAAGGACCTCATGGAAAAGGAATTCAACGAATCTGTCCAAGTTGTTCGTGTCAATCAACTCACTGTGCCTGATGGACCCTTTGTTTTCCCTTTGAAAGGAAGG